AAAAAAAAAAAAAAAAAAAGTAAATACTTCTTATATAGTCACAAGAATAATAAAGTTTTAATGTTAAATTTGGAGTTATAAGTAAAAATTCTTTTTCCTTCCAGAAGAATTACTTGGTGAAAATATCATGTCTGCCTTTTAAGAATTTTTGCCCAGAGTCATAGTTTGAGGGATTGTAGATGTTTTTGTGTATACTTTCTATTTTTGGTGGTGCATGTTAGGCAGTCATGTTACCACTGAGTTATACCCCCAGCCAGTTGTGCATATGTACTCTTAACTATTTTATTTGCTTACTTTCAAGTACTTAATGGGTTTGCTGTCCATTTTATTTACAAATTATTTTTGTCATCCTTTCAGACTAGATTTGTTTACTATAATCGAAAAGATTATAGATGACATCCTCCCCCCAGTACTAGGGGATCAAACTCAGGACCTTTCATTTATCAGGAAGACTTAGTGCCTCTGAGCTACACCCCTGACCCGAATTTATAAATAAGAAGTTTTAATGAAAAATACTTAACTTCTTAATTACTATTTTGACCTAAGGAAGACACGAAGTGGTAACAGGGTAGGAAGTTAATTCTGAATGCCTATAGTGGCTTGGAGACTGCTTGCTAGTGTATTAGTGATTCTTAGGGACTGGGAAAGGTTCTGAGTAGTGTTTCTGTGTTTACATTGCAATAATTAAAAAAAAATGGCTGCCTAGATTTTTGTGTACATGTTGTTCATTTTTAAATCTATGTGTTGTACTCTTCCCTTAGGTTTTTGTTTCTGTTATTGGGTCCAGCAGGCAAGGCTCCGCAGTATCATGAAATTGGCAGATCAATAGCCACGCTCATGACCGATGAGGTAACTAAAATCCCTTTGGCATAGATAGTAATTATGAAATTGAATTGTAGTGCTCCTGTCTTTCACAGTGAAATTTGGAAATTGTCCTTGATGTCAGCACTATTTTATTGCCTGATCATTTTTCAGACATTCCTCAAATGTCTTCAAACATTTCCTTTCTGTACCCTGCTTTTTTATCACAGCATTTATCATTACCTGCAGTTATATATTAATTTAATTAACTTGTTTATCTGTCTTTCTTCCTAAAAAGGGATTTTTATTTTAATCATTCATTATGCTGATGGTACTCTGGGATTGATCCTGAACTATATTCCTGGCTCTTTTTAAAAATTTTTATTTTAAAACAGAATCTTGTTAAATCACTTAGTTTCCCAGGCATTGCTCAAACTTGAGATCCTCCTTGCTCAGCCTCCCAGAGGGTTGGAATCACAAATGTAGGCAGTTTAAAAAAACATTCTTGAGTATAAGGAACTTGCCTTTTCTCCATTTCTTTATCCATAATGCTTAGAATTATTCCTAGCGAATAGTAGGTAACCAGAAAATATTTTTCATTAAAAGTTTGTATCTCCTTGCTTATTCCCTTAGGGTGAATAACATTTAAATTTCAAAAGAGTAGCGTTAGATGCCACATAATTGATTCCTTAATAAATTATCAAGTATTTTCTGTGTAAAAATGATTTATTGTTCTGTCCTAGCACATCACTGTTTTCTTTTGTTTGTTTCTGTTACCTCATCTGGTAATACTAGTAGGAGGTTACCTTTTACTGTTCATAGCCGGGGCAGGGTGGTAATACCTGTCTAAAGAGTTTAGGTAATTATCTTTACTGTGAATGATAGCTAAAGTGGATGGACTATGTATAAGATTTTCTTTCATCTTTAAAATCCTTATTTCATTTTTTCTTTAGATTTTTCATGATGTAGCTTATAAGGCAAAAGACAGAAATGACCTTTTATCTGGAATTGATGAATTTCTAGATCAAGTAACTGTCCTCCCCCCGGGTGAGTGGGACCCTTCCATCCGCATAGAGCCACCGAAAAGTGTCCCTTCTCAGGTAAGAACTTAGAGACTTTCTGTGAAGTACTTTCTTTTATTTTTTTATTTTTTTGATTTATTGAGACCAGATCTCACTATGTAGCTCAGGCTGGCCTTGAACTTGCAGTGATCCTCCTGTCTCAGCCTCCTGAGTGCTGAGATTTCAGGCTTGGGCTACCATGACTGGTTTGAAGTATTTTCTTTTGATTAAAACATTTTCAATTAAAATTTTAGGTTATGTATTTTACAGTTAAAATACCAAAACCGTTGGCTGGGGAGTGTAGCTCGGTGGTGGAGAGCATGCCTAGCATGTGTGAAGCCCTGGAATCGATCCCTAGCATCATGAAACACATATAGTCACACACGCAGAAACTATTTGAGGTGTATTCAGGGCTTTCTGTCTGCATCTGGCCCCTTTAACATCTTACCCGTCTACCTACCTCCTATGAGTCCCTTGGTTGTTTTTTGTTGATTCTTACAGTTTTATTCAGTTCATGTAATATAGTCTTGCTTCTTTGTCTTTCTTACCAAAAGTTATCATGTTATGTGTACTATTTTGTACCTTGCTTTTTTTATTCAAAGGTTTTTCACAGGTTGATCACCTGAAGTCTGAAATTCAAAATAGTCTGAAATCTGTAACTTTTTGAATATTGATATAATGCTCGTGATACTGAGCACTGACATACTGCTCAAAAAGTTTGATTATGGATTTTCATATTAAGCGTGCTCAACCAATCAAGTCTATGCAAATACACTAATTTTTGAAAAACTTTGAAATCTCAAACATTTCTAGTCCCAACTCTTTTGGATAAGAGATACTCGGTATATCAAAATATCCTAGAGACCTGTTTATAAGAAATCATGGAAATATTCCTTATTCTTTTTTCTAGAGCTGTGTTGTATTCCATTTATGGATATACCGTTGTTTATTTTATTCCTGGGCTCTGGTTATTTTTAGGCTTTTGCTATTAAAAACCATGCCACTGTGATCATATGCCATTTCAGTTTTGTATGGAGGTAACTGTAGGATAGATCTCCAAATATCAGATTGCTGGTTCAAAGGGGCATTTATTTGTAATTTCAGTAGATATTGGCTAAATCTCTTCTATCATTTTGAACTGTTTTGAACTCCCACAGTGATTCTTAAAATCCTACATTTTTATTAACATGGTGTGTTGCTGAACTTTCAAATATTTCTCAATCTGATTAATATTTTTATCTTGCTACATCATATATTTTAATACTCTGTAATTAGTAAGATTGAATATTCCTTATTTTTTGTTCAGCCCCCACCTCTCCCCACATGCCTCTTTTTTTGATACTGGGGATCTAACTCAGGACCTTGCCCTTGCAAGAGAGTCAGTGGCACCACTGAAAATCTCTGGCTCAGCACCTTTTTTTAAACCATTAAGTCATTCACTAATTCCTTGGAATTTATCATAGTGTGTTATGTGAGGTTATACATCTCATTTTTTAATTTTTTCCATATTGTTATCTGTTTGTCCCATTTCATTAAAAAATTAAGCACTACCCCATCTCCTCTTTGTTTGTTTTCTTTTGAGAGAGGGCCTCACTGTGCAATCCAAACTGTCCTTGAACATGCCTAGTCAAGGCTGGCCTCCATGTAGTGATCTTGCTGTGCCTCAGCCTCCAAGAGGGGGGGCCCCAGGTGTGTGACACCATACCCAGCACATGCGCTCCTTGAATGGTGATGCTACCTTCACTTGAACTACATTTCTATCTGCATTTGTGCTTTTTTCTGGAATTTTTTTCTTTGTTCTATTTTGGAGAAATTCTACCCTGTTTGAGATTTTTTAAAATATCTGTTAAGTATATTTTAATATCTGATAAATCTAGACTTACTTTTGTCCTCTCTTGTTTTTCTGATTTTTCTTGCCTATCTTTTTGTATTTATTTTTCTATGTAAAATCAGCTTTCTCTTTTCAGAAATAAAACCTCCTGGTTTAAGAAAACAGTTTTGGTAATAGTTAAATTTCTCAGTGAATTGAGGGAGAATCAGCATCTTTATGACAATGAATCTTTCTATTCAAGAACATGGTATGTTTTCCCTGTTGATTTTTTTTTTAATATGAACTCTGTATCATTAAGGAATACTTTTAAATTCCCATATTTTATAACACTACAGTGATATAAACAGCATGGTACCAAAAGAGGCATGTGGATCAATAGAGGAAGCAGAGACAACCCCAGACATGAATTCAGCTATTTGATCATTGACAGGCCAAAAGCATGCCCTGGACCAAAGATAGCCTCTCTAATAAGGAAAATTGGCTATCCACATGTAGAGGATTGAATCTAGAGCCGTACATCTCACCATGCACTAAACTAAAATAAAGATGGATCAGAGATCTAAATCACAAACAATCTGTTTGGCTATAAAATTGTAGAACTCTTGAAAACAAAGGTATAGGAAAGGTTTTGTTTATGAACAAAACCCCCAGTAAGACATAACACTGAAAATCAACAAATGGGATTGCATCTAATTAAAAGCTGCATCGCAAAGAAAGCACCAGCAGTGAAGAAACCACATACAGAATGGGAAAAGTTTTGCTAGCTATTCCTCAGAGGACTAACATCTGTAATATATAAAGAACTAAAAAAAAAAATTAAATCCTCCAAAGTAAAAGACCCAACCCAAAAAATGGTCCCCTAAAAAAACAAAAAACAAAAACCCCAAAAAACGGTCCCCTGAAATGAATAGACACTTTTCAGAAGTACAGATGGCCAAAAAATATATGAAAAAATGTTCAGTATTGCTGGCCAATAGAGCAATGCAAATTTTAGCAACACTGAGGTGCCATCTTACTCGAGAAAGAATGGCTGTCACCAAGAAAGCCAATAGTAACAAATGCTGGGAGGTTGTGGAGAAAAAGGAACCCTTGTACATTGCTGATGGGAATGTAAACTAGTATAACCACTATGGAAATGAGTATGGAGATTCCTCAAAAAGTAAAAGTAGCAGTTTCATTTGACCCAGCTATTTCCTTTCCAAGTATCTTCCTAAAAGAGTTAAAGTTAACGCATTACAGTGATAGATGTGTACTCATGCTTATGGCAGCACAATTCATAATAGCTGAATCTTGGAAGCAGCCTGTATGCCCAACACCAGATGAATGGATAAAGAACACATATATTTATACACAGTAGAATACTATTCTGCCATAAAGAATAAGTGAGACATTTATAGGTAGATGGATGTGTCTCTTGATTGTAATGTTAAGTGAAATAAATCAGACACAAATTTAAGTATTATGTGGTTTCTCTTAATATGAAAAACCAAAATACAAATAAACAACAAAATAAAAGATAGATAATAGGGAGTTAAGAGATCTTTTTCAAATGGGGAGGGGATCAACAGGCAGGAAAGAGGCAGGGAGGGAAGAGAAGGGATAAAAAGAATGAAAAAAATAGAGCTTTTGCAAATAGAAAGGGCATTAAGAATTGAAGAAAGGAGGGAGTAATAGGAAGGTAAGGAAATGAAATAGTTAAGATGTGTTATGTACATGTACAAACTTCACCACAGAAAATTAATTATTTTGTACTGCAAATATGTACTACTAAATCGCCCCCAAAATGTTTGCCATATCCACAGTTTACTTACATCTTAATGAATATATTCATAAATACTTTCTCTTCATTGTTGTATTATAGATGAGGTCTTTGTTTCATTTTCATGTCTGTTGTATGTAGATATATATAGGCTCTGTTATATGTATTTTTGTCTTACTATATTCTTTTATTGTATGTAGTAATTTTCAGTCTTATCACTTGCTATGAAAGTTTTATCCCGCCTTTTCCAAATTTTATACCGCTAACATTTTTCTGTTGCCTAATAATTGTATTAACTAAAATGTGTTATGTAGTGTTAAGAGGCAGTTCATTTTGGGCATAGCAGTTTTTCCCCTAGTGCTGATAGCTTGAACCCAAGACTGCACATGCTAGGCAAGCATGCCACCGTTGAGCTACATGTCCAGCCCAACAGGGAACTTTAAATGGGCATCATTGTCTCTAGTAATTTCTTTTAAGTAACATTGATATTTGGGCCAAAACACACATTTTATCATGGTAAATATCATAATTTGTCTTATTGACATTTTTAGTATAAGTGAATATGAATTTTATGATACTTTCCTAGTACTATTTATCAATTTTTTGGTAACTATTCGTAAATGTGAAATGCTACATTCCTGGAGTTAATTCAGGTTGGACTTGAAAGTCTGTTATGTTATTTAAGTTTTTTGCATCGTTTGTAAGTCATTTCATCTGTAGATTTTTATGCATTGTGTTGGTATCATCATTGTACATGTTTTATAAAATATAATTTCTAAATTTCCTTTTCCTGATGCTTAAACAGCTAAAATGGTGTGGGATTATTTGGCTCAAAAAATTAGGAAAATCCCTTTGTAATATTTTTTTTGAGCTTGTATATTTTGTCATATGGTAGGCTTCAACAACTTGATAATTTTTCTGTGGAAATTGGTTCGTGTAAATTTTATTTTTTCTGAGTTCAGATTTAGTAAATTATATTTTCTAGTATCCAAGTTTTGTGCATCTCTATATGTCCTTTATTTTGTGAAGTTATCTCCTTGCTGTGTCTTACTTATTAATGTGCTAATCATCTGTTTCAAACAGACCAGCTTTTAAAATTTATTTCAGTTTTCCTTTTTTAAAATCCTGTTTCTGTTTGTTTACCTTCCTGTCTGCTGTTAGCTGTTTCATTTGATTCCTTCCAGTTTCATTTATGGAAGATTTTGTTTTTGCTCTTTCTGGCTCCTTAATTTTTTTTTTTTCCTTTTAAAATTTTTCTTAGTGTAAATGTTTGTCTTTGGGGGATTTTTTTTGTATGATGTTTTAGCTTTACTCCATAGATTATAATATGTGATTTTTTTTCAATGAATTCTGTAGGATTTTTTTTTTTTTTTTTTTTTTTTTTTTTTTTTTTTTTTTTTATGTATATTAGTTTTAGTTTTAACATTTTCATATGGTAGTCCTATAGATGACTTTTGCTAGTCTGTAAGTGCTAAACATGTAAACCAGTGTGTATAAATGTGTACTGTAGCCTGGGCCTTTGACTTCAGGAACTTCCGGGTTCACACATCTCTTTGTCTCTCTGTCTCCTTCCCTCCTCCGTACTCTTTCTCCTTACACGTGCATGTGTGCACACATACACATTCTCTTAGCCCTGGTTACTTCTTGAGGTAACAAACGGAAAGCTTGTTTCTTTGTCTTCATAGGAAAAGGAGAAACTCCTGTGTCATGGAAATGGTCCTCTTGAATTTTAAATAAAAAGTAATGGAAAATTGTAAACGACTTTTGTGCTTTTTTTTTTAAAGTGAAGTAGTTTAATGAAAAAAATAAGATCTTTAAAATTAATATGTAGTGTTTTTTTTGTTTGTTTTTGTTTTTGTTTTTTGATACCGGGGATTGAACTCGGGTCCTTGTGCTTGCAAGGCAGGCCACCGAACCGCTGAGCTAAACCCTGGCCCTGTAGTATGTTTTTTAATGGTTAGCATGAACAATATTTTTAAAAACTTGAATTATATGGTTTTTGGAGGATATGTATTTTCATAATTATTACTGAATAGTAACTTGAAGTGGTGTGTTTGAATAATCATTACAGTATATTAATTTTAGAATATGAAATGCAGAAACCTAGCCATAAATTTGAAATATGAATAAAAATAGGTATTAGATTCATAAGTACAGTATATTTTAAAAAGTTTATACTATGAAACATTTCTTGGAGTACTGATTAGTTATATAAGCCGTGTAAGATCTGATGTTCCTTTGAATCAAAGATGCCATCTAAATTTTTTAAAAAGAGAATTCTGAAAGTATGTTTTTATGAAACAGGAAAAGAGAAAGATTCCTGTGTTTCCTAATGGGTCTGCCCCTACATCTGGTGAGATTCCTAAGGAGGCTGCTCATCATGCTGGGCCTGAGCTGCAGAGGACAGGACGGTGGGTACCAGTACAGATATCTTTTTGGGATTAGGGGTTGATTTGATGAGAAAGGAACATTTTCTTCTTTCCTAGTATTTGGAACCTAATCTTGTTTGTATAGTGTTCTCTGTCATGTTTTTAAAATGTACATTATTGAGTAAGGTATGTGATATTAGGGGGAAATGTTTATGCATTTAAAATAATTTTAATAGTATGTACCAAGCTTAAAATAAGATAATGGACCTTGTGTTCAGAAATCACAGTTATATAGTATATAGGTTAATTCACATTGCCTCTACAGAAGGTTCTTAAATTGTAGTGTCATTTTACAGTTCTCCATTATCAAGTTAGAGAATTCTGGGAAGAAAGAAATTAGGACAAATGATTTTTATGTGTTGTGCAGAGATTTAAAACTCTTAAATGAACATTAAATTATGAGATGCTGTTCAGTTAGATGGACAAACATGGTATCCCAGTAATGATTTCTGGAACCCTTGTTAGCAACATTACAAAGTTAAATTCTGGAGTAAAGAATAGAAATATTGCTAAGTGTAAAGATTTTGTTATGGTATTTTCATACTGTAGAAAAGCTTGTTTATTGATACTTCTGTCTACTCTGGTTCATATGGAATTAAAAGTATTTGAACCTTAAACCTTTGTTGATAAAACTAGGATATCTTAGACACACTATTAGGGATTTTGAAAAAAAAAATCTCTATATTTAAAAAAAAATTTTTAAAAGCTCATATTCACAATGAATTAACTAATGAAACATTTTAATCTATGTGAGTATGAAGGAATGAGACTTCACCTCTGTACACAGAGTGCTAGTCCCCTATTATTACTGTTTCTTTGAACTTCAAATGCAAATATTGTTAGTCATTGGAAACACCAAATTAGACACCAACGTTGATCTCAGTCACCTGAGAGGCTCTGTAAGTTAGCTGTTAAGTAATCAAATATTCATTGATGATACAGATTCATTTTCTAGGGCCACGCTCTAAGGCCCTTCCAGCTCAGTGGTTCTGCTGCCTGCCTTGCAAGCACAGGGACCTGAGTCCAATCCCCAGTACCAAAAACACAAACAAACAAACAAACAAACAAACAAATAAATTCATTTTCTAGATATTCATCTGCATTACAAGTAATGCCCCCTGCTGTAAGTTATTTACAGAATAGCTCTCACTTATCAATGTATGTGTAGGACTTCTTTCAATATTAATTTTAAAAATTTAGAATGATAGAGCTTGAAACATCCTAAGTATTAGAAAGCATACAGTTAATTCTTTTGTCTATTGTCTTGCAATTGATATTGGAATGATTACCTGTTTTAAGAATCATAGAACTTTTTGAATTATTGATTCAATCACCCAATATTTAATTAGCACTTACTATGCCTCAGTCAGTGTCTAGGCACTGGGATATAAGGCTGTGAGAAAGAAAAGTATTTGCCTCTCATGGACTTTATGTCTTTTAATATTTTCAGAATAGATATATCAAAAAATGTGATTTTAAAAAATTGAAATGGCACAGCTTATATATTTTATTATGGATTTGTAATCTACTCATTAAAACCTCTTAGTTTTATGGATATGCATACAACTCTGACTACATATAAAGTAAACTAAAAAGTCCTGAAATCATTTTAAGGCTATTCTTTCTCCTCGGCAGAAATATTCATACAATTAAAGCACTAATTTTTAAAGGTACTAACTGCTTGTGCACAGCACACTACATTGCTATTACAGGAATTATAGTTGCCTTCTTGATATATCTGATAGTTGCTGTTAAGATTTATGACAGACCATAATTAATAGAATTACTATGCATTTTCATGATTAGGTTTTATTTATTGTACGTTTCCTTGTACATTTGTGTCAAAAGTTACATTTACTCATATATATAAAATCATTTGCCTGCGGTCTTTTCAGTATATAGTCCATAAAATAATGTGTATGTCTCTTTTTAGCTTAATGAGATCTTTCATCCATCATCAATAGATTAAATTAAATGAGTATTTTCTAAAATTTACACCATGATTTGAGTTGGATTTTAATTTTTGTTGAGAGAACACTAGGCACCAGCAGTTTTGTGTAGCCCATAGATTTAGTTTGAACTAGCTAGAATCCTCTAGTGTACAGTTTGACGAGTTTCATCTCACCTATTTAGGCTTTTTGGTGGTTTGATACTTGACATCAAAAGGAAAGCACCTTTTTTCTTGAGTGACTTCAAGGATGCATTAAGCCTGCAGTGCCTGGCCTCGATTCTTTTCCTATACTGTGCCTGTATGTCTCCTGTAATCACTTTTGGAGGGCTGCTTGGAGAAGCTACAGAAGGCAGAATAGTGAGTACAAAGATTGGTAGTGGCCAGGCTCTTAGCTCTTCAGAGGCAAGTGTTTGTATGCATTTGTCTCACTATTCATACTTTTATTTGAAGAGTCTACCTAAACCTGTCCCAAAGCAGACTTCCCCCAAGGTAATTGCTGTGGAAAACATGGGGAAGCCATTTGAACAGGAGAAGATGCACAGTTGAGGTAAAAAAAAAAAAAAGGAAAAAAAAAGTTATCCTGCCTTGCTGGATGGAATGGTTTTATAAGTTGAGTAAAAGGCTTGCATTGTCTTCTTGGGAGGGGTGGATTTTGGGGAAACCAGTGGAACTGAACCTGGGGGCGGGTCATGGGTGGGGGAATTTACCTTCATCCTATAAGATATCATAGTAATTAGTTAGTTGTATGATTAATATTAACTCATCAGCCCTGGTGTGTAGGTCTAGATTAGATATTTGGAAGAATAGAACATAATTGTAGAGATGATAGATTTTTGAAGTAAGAATATTTTTTATTTTGTTTATAATAAGTCTGTGTAAAAAGCCAAAGCTTTTATTTGGAAAATAAAATTGAAAGTTGCTTGAGTCTTTTAATATGACTAGAAAGGAAGTTTAATGTTTTTCTGTATTTGAAATTACTGTATTAGGAGCTGTGTGGTGCTTTATAAAATCTTGAAAGTTTGTTTTTGGTATTTTTTTTTTTTGAAGGGGGCCTAGATGTATTTTTTAGTGGTCTTTTAATGAGATGGTTTAAAATTCTTAGGTGTATTGTAATTAATATTTAGCACTATTAAATTTGTGGTTTATAATTCTTAGGTGTATTGTAAGTAATATTTAGCATTATTAAATTTGACACTTAAAAAATTTGTACTTTTCTAGATAAAGGGTAAAAAATTAGACAAAGCTAAAAAAACAATGATATTTATTCAGTGAAGATATTTTTTGACCTGAAAATGAAATAAAGCTAACAGCTGACATTTTCTTTCAACCCTTTATATTTGATTACTCAGATTGTTTTATGTTACTTTTTAACCATTGCATCAAGTGTACATATTCTTAGTAAGTTGCTGTATATGCTGTCACAATTGTACTTGTAACTGTGCTGGTCCCTATGGAAATGTGTTCTGTTTCCATCATGGAAGTAACTGCTGCTTTGCTCATGGACTGTCCCTGCTTGCCTGTCTCCTTCTACTGTTGGCACTGTGTGCATGTGGTAGTGTGTTAGGAGCTGAAGGAGAGACAGATGTAAGAACGTGTGTCTTCTGTCCCCAGTGACCCTACCTGCAGTGAAAGGGTTGTAACATACACATAGCTGCCGTGCCATTGGACACTGGGCTACGGGACTGAGGTAAAGGTCGAGCTGTGGAAGCTGAACAGTGGACGTAGAGAAAGCAGGGGTACTATGGAGGAAAAGAATATGAAATGTGTTTGTTTTCATTTGCCTTGTTAAGATTTCAAGTAGAAATGGATATATTAGGAGGTACAATTTCAGAGGTGTAGAGTGGTAAGAAGGAAAAGTAAACATTAGAAATCACTAACATTTGAGTAAGGGTTGAAACTAAAATAGACAAGAAGGGCCAGGGATTTAGCTCCATAGTACCACTTCCTGCCTCGCAAGCACAAGGTCCCAAGTTTGATCCCCGGTACCAAAAAAAAAAAAAAAAAAAAAAAGATGAGAGGAGTAAAAACATGTGGAAAGGAGGAAGAATGGAATGAAAGAGGAAGACATTCCAGTCAGGTTCAGGTACCATCATAACCCTAGCAGTGGAATGCAGGTGGCATAATTGAAGATGGCACGCTAGTGGTTTTGAGGAGGGAAAGCTAGCGACAGTCAGTAGTAGGTAGCACAGCACTGTGTGAGAAGAAGGGAGCTGCTACTGAAAGGTAAAATGGAAACTTGTTTATTTGAAATGAAATAGGGAAGACAGTGTAGTGTCTATTGTTTATTTAAGGAAAAAGATTTCAGTTTGTGAATGACTATAAATGGACAAAGTTGGAAATTTAGAGAAAAACTAGACCTGGGTATGGGAAATTTTTATTCTGTAAATGTGACAAATTGGCTGTTGGGGTAGAATGAAAAGAAGGGTTTCATGTGTCAATATCTGCTTTTTAACCCGAGGAGAACCTTAATTTTATGTCCATCTGCATTTGTTAACGTTTTTGAAGGGTATTCTCATTCTTTTTGTTTGTTTTCTTTCTCTGGATATCATTTAAACATTTTTTTAAATTTTAACTTAAGCACTGCCTAAATTTCTTCCTACATATGCATATTCTAATAGGCTAAAGATTCTGTAGTGGCTTGCTTACCTGTGTCTTCTAGCACAAACTTACTTTCTGACAGGCAGGAAAACTTTATCCCATACCGTGACCAAATGAATGATTGATATGGATGCTTTTCCTTCATGTTGACAAAAGACAAATTTGTTTTTTTTTATTTACTCCTGTTTTTATCTTAATAGTTGATTGGTACTTTTATTGTCTACTATTATTTTGTGATTCAGGTTTTGAAAGATGTTATTACAATTTATAGGAAGAATTGCTACCATTTATTATTTTCCATTTGCAAAACACTATGCTTGTTAGGCTTTAAAAACATTAAAGTTCTACTTGTCTTCGCCCCATTAAAGTGAGAGCCTATGGGCTTGAATAGTCATGGCTCAGCACTCGGCCTTAGCCAGGCTGCCGCGTCACATGTAATTCTGAAGACTTGCTCTTCTGCTGCTGTGCTGCCTCTCGGTCAGGAGTGGTTTTTGTTTTTTGGGTTTTTTTTGTTGTTGTTTATTATTTTTTAATCAACTTCTTTCTTTTGCCTTCCCTAGTGATGGGCTTTGCCTTTCTGGGTAGTGCATTCCAGTTGTCTTTGATGTTTGTGACTAGTGAACTGTTTCTTTCTGATCAGTCGCTTTTGTCAAGTGGCATAGTGTATCAACACACTTTGCTGTTTCATAACCTAATGTTGTACTGGGTTTGGTTTAAAGTTTCTCTGAGCTCTTATCTTATTTTACTTTTCTCTCTTCCTCTCCACGCCCCCATCCAGCTTTAATGATAAAATGCTTCATTTACGATTGCTATGGATTTTTTAGATTTTTTTTCATAAATTTTATGTTAAGTATTTCATTTTTTTACAGAAATTAAGCCTATCATAGTAATTGCTTTAATGTATGTGAAAAATTGCTCTTTAGAAATCAGCTTGAAAAAGAGGGTCATATTTTAACTTACTATTTATTAAAAATTTTTTTTTTGCAGTACCATATTGAGTAACTTGTATTTTTATTTTGAAATGAACTATTTAAAGCATACAGAAATAACCTTTTTTACTTGCCACAGACTTAAAATATCTACAGATAAAGTTGAAGCCCTGTATGTGTTTCTTCCATGTACTTTTTGTATCTCACAGTATTGAGTTTTGAATTAAGGGTGATTATAGAAAGTTTCATTTAAATATGCAAAAAGAAAAAAAATTCTCTTTGTATTTAAATTGTTTTGTAATTTCCCATATTTAAAATGTAAATTTAGGACTGTTAAATTGTTTGCTTTATACCTGCTTAGTTAGTATTTTTATGTTGTAGATATATTACATGTATTATATAGTAGGTTAGAGAGATGTTTATGATGCATTGCTTCTATCCGTTTCTTTTTTCCTTGAACAGAGTGCGATAGAGTCTCTCTTTGGAGCGTCACTAACTGGGATTGCCTATTCATTGTTTGCTGGGCAACCTCTAACAATACTGGGGAGCACAGGTCCAGTTTTAGTGTTTGAAAAAATTTTATTTAAATTCTGCAGGTAAGTTATAATTCTCTGCTCATGACATGTATTTGCATGTGTGTATAACTGTATATTAACGTAAAGATCATTTTATGTATTTTAGAGTTGAAGTGATCTGATTAGTATTTGTATTTTCAATATTTTGGGGGTAATTGTGGTTGATCCTAATAAGGTCCTACCAAGGCCCCCACCTCTGTCCCTACCTCATTAACTTAGAAATGTAGAAGATAAGATTGTCCTTTAGTATATAATTAATGGATTTGAATAGTGATAAGCAAATCACTTGGAGAAATAAAAATGCTTTGTACTAGTAAGAAGTTGTTTATCTCAACTATTGATTAGGAAGTATGTTGGTGTTATATAGGAAGTTTAGAAAGAGTTGGGTTTCAAAGGCTCAAATTGGCTGTACCAGTCTGTCTCATTTAATAGATACAACCAGGGGAGCAAAACAGTCAGAACATTGTCAGTTTCCACTGGCTAGGTTGTTTGTAGTGTAGGAACTACCTTCTGTAGCTAGTAGACTCTGAATTTGACATGACCAGTACTGTTCCTTTCCTGATAAAAACTCAGTTGAATATTTTGGCTCAAAACAACTTGATGACATTTACATACTTGATGGTTCTAATTCTCTTGTTCTCATTCTGCACTCACTAAATAAGCTGATACTGAGTCTATCTGGCTGCCACATGGATTAATAGGTAATGAGATGACCTGAAGCATAGACCCTGTTAGTAATTTCATATTTGAAATTTAAAATTAGAATCACTTTACCATGGTGCTAATGGTGGGAGAGGAAGTGGTGGTAGTGTTGCCAATGTGTTGGAGCAGTGGGTGTCTTTTTACCATATTAACATAGAACTTCTGGATCTTCATAGAGAGTGAGATACAATTGTTCTTCCTCATAACTAATTTATAATGTGAGGTCTAATGATTCTGAAATATTTATCACCTAGAGAAGGATACGTCACTATAATAATCCACATGTCATCAGTTGAAGGAGAAAAATACGTGGAGCTTCATTTAATCATTATTTTGTCATTTTGTAATTCTCCCTTTTTCAGGAATTATATATTTTTATGTTTCTTTTTTGCTTGTAAATAATTTTAGGTAAACTACTATTCCACATGCATATATTGATCATGTCCACATTTTTATTTTTCAACAGAGATTATGACCTTTCCTATCTGTCTTTAAGAACCAGTATTGGTCTGTGGACTTCTTTTTTGTGCATTGTTTTGGTTGCAACAGATGCAAGCAGCCTTGTATGTTATATTACTCGATTTACAGAAGAGGCTTTTGCAGCTCTCATTTGCATCATATTCATCTATGAAGCTTTGGAGAAGCTTTTTCATTTAGGAGAACTATATGAATTTAATATGCACAACAATTTAGATAAACTGACCAGCTACTCGTAAGTACATCTGTTTGTCTCTAGTTTTTGCCAGTGTAAGAGTTTAAGAAAATGAAATTTTTGTAAGTGTGGTTTTTGCTGGGTCTAGCTCTTAACTACCCAGCCAAACATACAGTAGTTGACTTATTTGTTTCCCATGAGGTTTTTGCTTCAATAGATATAAATATACTTGATCAATTTTGTTCTTTTTTTTCACCGAGGTAACTTATGTGATTGTGTTGAATCTTTCATTTAAATTGGATTTGTCTGCCCTTTATCTTTTTGACCTTTTTGAAGCATACTTTTATTGTTAGTGACAGCCTGTTAGCACAGTGTTTATTTCTGGTTAACAGAGTTGTCAGTGTTCACTGCATTCATTCACCTAACATCCTCTGAGCACCTGCAGACACTGTTTACAGTTGTGCCTAATTCATATTGTAGTGTTGTAGCCCCTTTCCTGTATGAAGAAAGTGAAGCTCTTGGAGGTTGAAACTTTTAGATCAAAGGGCTGGTACATGATATATCCAGGTTGGGTTCTGAATGCAACTTCTTGCCTTTTTTCAAATAATTCATAACCTAATTGGGAGTATTCCTGTTTGTTTCTTCTTTTTATTTTTTAAATTTGTATTTTAAGTTTCTTTGCTTAAAAATAAAGCTAGAAATATAAATAATCAGTTGACATAATTCTAGATAGGAACTGAACTCTGATCTTATCAATCTCCTAATCATATCCTGATGGAAAGCTGTTCTGTTTGTTTCAGTAAGAATGTGAGGTATTTATAAACAACGGAGTACTGCTCTGCCCTAACGAATGATAAACTTGAGTCATTTGTATGAAAATGGATGCACTTGAGACCATTATATTAAGTGAGATAAATCAGACTCACAAGCTTAAGAATCACATGATTTCTTTTATATAAGGAACACAAATTATAAATAAAGAGCAAAATAAAAGATAGATGGAACTTCCTAAAATGGCAAGGAGATCAAGAGACAGGGAGGATGATGTAAGGAAGGAAAGGGGATGAAAAAAGAATTAAGATGTGTTACATACAGGCACTAACTCCACACAAAGAGTGTAAACATGTACTGCAACTGTGTACTAATTTACAAAATGAATCTTAAGGGTCGGGGGTTTAGTTCAGTTGTTCTACTGCCTGTCTTGGAAGCGGAAGGTCTGGAGTTCGATCCCCAGTACCCAAACAAAACAAAACTGAATCTTAAGATCAGTAAAGGTTGAACAAGAATAGTAGGGCTTGTCAGAGCATAAAGAATTAACAGTACTGTAAGTTCTGTTAGAAATACATATATATTGTCGGGGGGCATGAGGAGGCAGCAGTAACTGCTATGAAGGATGAGAGTAATCTTGCTTAAAAAAAAAAAAGTGTCACCTGAAATTTTTAAAGAATTATTAAATAATGATCCTTTCTCAAGGACATTTAAACAATTTGATTAAACATTTTTATCAATATTTGTACTCGTTCTATTTATAGCACCCAAACTTTGTTTTGTTGTATTTTGATATACTTTTACTTCCTAGTCTCCAAGCTTTGCAACATGGAAAAAAGTTAAGTTAAATGCTACCACTTTGTGCAAGTGATTTATTTAGTAAGAAAATAAAATGCAGGACCCTTAAAACTTTCTACTGTTAATTTCTCAGATGTGTATGTATTGAACCTCCTGACCCTAGCAATGAAACTCTAGCACTGTGGAAGAAAAAGAATTTAACTGCACATAGTATTTCTTGGAGAAATCTCACGGTTATTGTAAGTATATTATGAAATAAAAGGTTTTTATTAATATTATGTTAATCTGTTTCTTCAGCTTTTTCTGATATATTTACATTTTCTTCTTGATGAATGGATATGTAATATGTTTTCAGGATGTAGTGTTTTAACGAAATAGTAGTTACCACTTTTGAGATTTTAAAGAAATTAAATAATGATCCTTTCTCAAGGACATTTAAACAATTTGATTAAACATTTTTATCAATATTTGTACTCGTTCTATTTATAGCACCCAAACTTTGTTTTGTTGTATTTTGATATACTTTTACTTCCTAGTCTCCAAGCTTTGCAACATGGAAAAAAGTTAAGTTAAATGCTACCACTTTGTGCAAGTGATTTATTTAGTAAGAAAATAAAATGCAGGACCCTTAAAACTTTCTACTGTTAATTTCTCAGATGTGTATGTATTGAACCTCCTGACCCTAGCAATGAAACTCTAGCACTGTGGAAGAAAAAGAATTTAACTGCACATAGTATTTCTTGGAGAAATCTCACGGTTATTGTAAGTATATTATGAAATAAAAGGTTTTTATTAATATTATGTTAATCTGTTTCTTCAGCTTTTTCTGATATATTTACATTTTCTTCTTGATGAATGGATATGTAATATGTTTTCAGGATGTAGTGTTTTAACGAAATAGTAGTTACCACTTTTGAGGGGGTCATGAATTAAAAAGTATAGGCTGAGGGCCAGGGATTTAGCTCAGTGGTTCCAGCACTTGCCATGCAAGAACAAGGACCCGAGTTCGATGTACCAAAAAAAAAAAAAGTGTAGGCTGAAAAAAATGAAGATGGTAAGGGAGATAAAAATGGACTGTATTTAACTTCCAGGATAGAATGTGAGTGTAATGTGTGTGTGTGCAAAGATGTGAGTATATTTGTGAACTTTGTCTAACTCCCAGAAGCTAGTCTGATTCAAGTATTAGGAGAACAGGAAGGAAAAATGGCAAAAATATGTTACGAGAATCTACTATGTGCTAAGGAGGCTATTGCAGGTATTCTGTAATATTGGGAAATGTTGTCCTAGGCACAGAATAGCTATGATAAAACACTTATATACTCATAAGCAAGACAAGGTTGGGAATTAGGAATAAATATTTAGAGCTGTGTTAGTACTCAGAATTAAAACCAAGATTCCCTGTGCTTCTTTGTGTGTGTGTGGGGGGGTGTTGGTTTAATAACTTCTAAGTAACTACAAATCATTCCTTTCTCATTAAAGGTAGTGGCCACTCACTGTGTAATTTCCAAACTCATCTGAAATTTTATTCCATTGTTAATGTAACGCTATGCTGTCCAATATGATACCCATTAATATGTATATTTCAGTTAAATTGACTAAAATTAATGAGAAGTTTACTTTGTTAGTGAACACTCAAAAGTGATTTGTGAAAGAATATTTATCATCATAAGTAAGATGCCTAGGTGTTTTCAGTGTATTTTCTTGATATCTGATAGGCCGTGTTAGGTGTTTGTTTTTGTAGCTTTAAAGTCCAAAATCCATAGATTATACTAGGTTTTCTATTCTCAGCAAGTGGAAATTGAAAATAAATGGAACTCTTAAGTATTTTTCTGTTAGTAAATCTAGATGTTTGTTTTGTTTATTCAAATGAGTTAAATTTATAAGAATATAAGTGAGGAAGGGGACTTTGGAATCATACTTTTGTTAATCTCTGGTTGCTTTTCAGCTACTTTTTCCTTCAAAAGAAAAATCAAGTCAGTAGGCTTTTATAATTACATTATGCAGTAATTTGTTCATATCATTAATTTTATTGATAAAAATACTCTCAGTGAAAGACCATGTGTTTAATCCCAAGGCCTTGAGTCAAATCAGGAAATCTATCCAAAGCTTTTGTTACTGCCTTCAGTTTTAACACTATAGCTATCTCCTGTTCATCATCATATAAACCACCTGTCTTTTACTTTGGTTTTAAATCACCTGTTCAGAAATAAATAGTAAAATTATGGACTAGTGAGAATGTACTGGAAACATTTCAGAGTTCAGTAGTCATTTTTAGCCATTCACTAAAGGAAACACGTAATTGCAAGAAAGGAGTAACTTGGAAATACTATTATTTCGGTGATTTATATGGACAAATAAACATTGCTGAACTCAAGATGTGTCTTACAGTTAATTCATGATATGTGGTAGTTGACTTGGCAATGTCTTGTCTAAGTGAAACATAAAATTTCCATCTTAGAGCCCGTGAAATTCATTAATAATTTACTGAATATTTGAAAATTCCTTCCATCTCCATTTTACCCTCCTTTTTTTTTCCAGGACTGTAAAACCTTTCATGGTGTATTCATAGGATCAGCTTGTGGGCACCATGGACCTTATATTCCAGATGTGCTCTTTTGGTGTGTCATCTTATTTTTTACAACATTTTTTCTGTCTTCATTCCTCAAGCAGTTCAAGACCAAGCGTTATTTTCCTACCAAGGTACATCGGTTGAAATTTTGGTGTTCTGGCAATATTCGTGTTTTTATCTTTCATTTGTTTCAAAGCAGTATTATTATTTAAGAGTAATTCTTTATGCCAGATAGTAATGAAGAAATTATTTATAATAAAAAACATTGTGTCTGAGCTCACCAGAGAAAGATCATGATACCATGAGATAAAGGGTAGGTTAGTTGTGAATTGTGTTTCTTTGGGGGAAAGATTAGACAAAAAGGTATGACACTGATTTTACTGTAGTAGTTTAAAATCCCTTTCATACTTTTTAGTGAAATTGTATCTTGAAAGAGGACTTAGAAAGGACACGGTATTTTTCTGTTTATATTAACATACTCCATTTAACATAGGTGCGATCGACAATCAGTGATTTTGCTGTGTTTCTTACCATAGTAATAATGGTTGCAATTGACTACCTTGTAGGAGTTCCATCTCCTAAACTTCATGTTCCTGAAAAATTCGAGGTAAGGACTAAAATAAGTGGCTGTTTGTTATTTGAGAATCAAACTACTTAAAATTGAGATGCTGCCTCCTGACTACTATTTGAGGTGATGAGTGGGGAACTGTTTTAAAAATGGACTCTGCTTTCCTAGCTGGAGTTTTCGTTTCTTCTTAGTGCCTGTTAATATTACATGACAAGGTGGAATTCTAGATGTCCTTTCCAAGGAAAAAGAAACATTGATTTTTTTCCTTTATAAATTTCTTGAAGGGCAGTTTATCTGACAGTAATAAGAGAACTCCATATAGCATTTTCCAGCAGAATCAGCAGAACATCCGATGTATTCTGCAAGGAAAACAATATTTAATGGAAGCTCCATTTGAATTCTTCACTTTTGTAGGCTGGTTTCTGTTCAATTGTACCTTGGGTTATATCTGTGTGGATCATTTACATGCTCCTTTTTCAAGGAGATTTGCTACAATTTGGAAAAAAACTGTCATGTGAACTACATAGACTAGAAATGTTGAAAAAGGTTAAGAAAAAGTTAGGTAGGTTGTAAATGATTAAAATATAGAGAGAGATAGATAATGGTCTGTTTTTAACCACTTCATAATATGTCTTGGGGGTCACTCAGGCAGTGCATCTGTTTATGTACTAACTGTTCCTGAGCATCGCTTGGGCAGGTGTCATTTCAACCAGTAGATTCTTATATTGAACAAATCTGATAAAATTGTCATTTTTATATTTTGTGTTGTCTTATAAAAATTAATGAAAACATTATGTACTTTTTGTTCATCCTGTATTTAAATAATTGGGCTGGTAAGTGCTTAATACTGTAAAACATACAGGAATCTATTGTAAAGTAGTAAGTTATCAAAACGTGCCCAGATATACTACCATTTACAGTGTGGAGATGTAAACAAATGTAAAGACATGGTATTAAATTACATGTGCTTAAAATTAACTAGAGTGCTTATTGTGCTACTGTCATGATTTTGTAGCTACTTACCTCCTGTTGCTATTTGCAGTGAGCTGAAGCACTGTGGACTTGTTTTATCACCTTTGGCCCTCCTCATCCCCCTGTGAGCATGTTACTCTCCCGTAGAGTGTATTCCACGTAAAAATGATCCCTGATGGTTCTTAAATACTTTTTAACTGTATATAATACATATATCATACAGAATATGTATTCATACTACTGTTAAGGCTAAGGGTGGTATTTATAGTTGTTTTGGGGAAGCCAAAACTTACAACTTGGAGTTTCAATTATGCGTGGGGTCAGTGCCCCTAACTTCTCCCCTTCACATTGTTCATGGACCAAATTTACCTTTTGAAAGAATATTTTGTGTCATGCTACTGGTTATATTTATCTTTACATTTACTAAATTGTGTTAATTTTTAAAGAAACAGATTATTACAAGGAGATAGAACTAAATAGTATAATGAAGGTCATCCTAGTCTTACTGTTCAATAGGATAAAATGTTTCATTATCATTATTGATGTGTTTTCCTGTTATCCTAGTCTAAATGTCTTATTACTATTCCCAAATATATATATAGTGCTTGTTATTTGTTTATTGATGCAGCTTTAAGAGCAGACTTAATTTTAGGGAGCATAAAATATACTTGTAGAACCAAATTAAGGAACACAAAAATAAACTGTATAAATAAAATATTTTATTCATATACATTATTGAATATGAAGCAGTTTTAATATATTTGAGAAAGGCATATCTGAACTTGAAAAGTAACCCTCTTTTGTATTAACAAATTCAGTATCTTAAAAACAATCTTAATATTGAGTCTAGATAGTAAAAACATGTTTAAGTTTAAATACATTTACTATTATCCAAGAGTACTAAACTCTTTTGTGATCTTTTAAAATTTTGGCTATAAAAGTAAATTTTATGTTTTAGCATCAAAGTCTATTAGTATCTGATAAGGTGCCAGATTTTTGTCAGTAGTAACTTTGGAATAATGATATCCCCAGAGCTACTTCTGATTTGATATCAACCCTGGCAAGATTAATGGCAAGATTAATGTCAAAAGTTGATCTAGAATGTGGATTTCAAAGGATATAGGACCATAATGAAATGACACTTTGGTTTGCTTTCCTGTTGTTACATAACAAACCTAGAAATGTAGTCTCCAAACAACAGCCTTTATTCCTTTGTGATTTTGTTGCAACTGAGACTGGGGCTAGCTGGCTCTTTTGATCTTGTTTGGGACCCTCACACAGCTACTTGTCATCTCGTGGCTTCTTGGGATACTGTGGCCTCATGCAGGTTTCCAGAACTTCAACTCAGGTGATTGAAGTAGTTGGGGTGGTACTTGTTCCATTCCTTCTCCTTCCTCACCATATTATATTATGTCCATAGTATTATGTTCCCAAGAAAGCTTATGTAGGCTTATTCAATGTCATAATCTTCTAAGGATTCTAAAGAGCTGCAGGGTTTCTTAAAGTCAGCGCTTGAAAGTCTCACAATGTCACTTTGGCCTCATTCTGTGGTTAAAATTATAATATTATCCCAGGTTCGAGGGAGAAGGGAAGTACCTGAAGAAAGTGAATAAGTCAGGTGGAAGGGGGCATGCTGTCTTTGCAAATAATTCAGTTAGATTTAATTGAGTTCTTATAGTCCCACTTTGTGCTGTGGAAATTTAGTGCAATAGAAAAACAAAACTTAAAGAACAAAATCTTTAACTTTTAACAGCCTACTGATCCAAATAGGGGCTGGATCATAAGCCCATTGGGAGATAATCCGTGGTGGACCTTATTGATCGCTGCTATTCCAGCTCTGCTTTGTACCATTCTCATCTTTATGGATCAGCAGATTACAGCTGTAATCATAAACAGAAAGGAACACAAATTGAAGGTAATTTTTAAATTTTATGTTAAGCATTGTGATTTCTTCTTTATGGGCTTGAGATTTTGATAATTGGAACCTTACAAGATATAATATGAAAATCAGTCTCTTCTCTTTTTACACTTAACATAGAATTTCAACCTGAAAGAACAGTTTAGACTTAGAAATATTCGTGTTTGTTTTACTTTTCAGAAAGGAGCTGGCTATCACCTTGACTTGCTGATGGTTGGTGTCATGTTGGGAGTTTGTTCTGTCATGGGACTTCCATGGTTTGTGGCTGCAACAGTGCTGTCGATAAGTCACGTCAATAGTTTAAAAGTTGAATCTGAATGTTCTGCTCCAGGGGAACAACCCAAGTTTTTGGGAATTCGTGAACAGCGGGTTACAGGACTAATGATTTTTATTTTAATGGGCCTCTCTGTGTTCATGACTTCAGTACTAAAGGTAAAAGTCTTTTCATTGCAGTGCTTTAATTTATCGTAGCGTTTATACTTACTTGTATGAAAATTAAACATTAAAATATACTTAAGTATCTAAAATCATTTTTACTTCACTCTGCAGTTCAGGCTGGCCTTGAACTCACTGTGCGTTCAAACTGAGGGTGATCTTGCCCCAGCCTCTCAATGTACCACTGTACTCAGCTAGATTTTTAAAATACATTTTCTTTTCTTAATGAATTAATTCTTTTTCTTCTAAGGTTCTTAGAAAAAAAAATCTAGGTCATTTAGGTGAGATGTAGTGGATATAATTTTCCTTTGTGTTGTTGAGTCTTTCTTTCCTTGTTATAGGCCTCTCACTTTGGTCAGAGTGCTGATTTTGGTTTTGGGTAAATTGATGGGGCCTGTGTAGCCTTTCTACAGAGTGCCTTGGTGTGTACTAGATGGGTGGTTTGCTATCTCCATAGCTTTAGGGTAGTAAAGCCTTTACTTATTGCAGTTCAAGTATAATATTTAGTAAATACTGCTGTACAATATTGGCATTGTAGGAGGTATTGACAATCGTAATGCCTAATGCCTTTTGAGTGATTTTTAATTTCAAGTGCTTTTTGGACTGGTTTATATATTTGCAATAATGTAATTGTCATAGCAATCTGATATAGAAACTCAAGCACAAAACGTTTTTTGTTTAAAGTGAGGTAGGTTTTTAAACAGAGTAGTCTGATTACAGTTCTTATTCTGTTAACCACTGAATGTATCTACTTTTCAGGAAGGAACATGTAGTAGAGGAATAATTTTTCAAGGAGTTTATTGTTAACTTTTCTTAGGTATAGAAATATTAGGTTAATCCACCCCTCATCAGTAAAAAATTTTTAATTCTATCACTAAACTTAGATTTCTATGTACTTGTTATTGTGTCTTAGTAGCATATTTAATAATATTGTGTTTAATAGTAGTATTTTAATACTAATTGTGATAATTTTACTTACAGTTTATTCCAATGCCTGTTCTGTATGGTGTTTTCCTTTATATGGGAGTTTCCTCATTAAAAGGAATCCAGGCAAGTCTTATGTGTTTAATGACTTTTCTTTTTAGAAAAATTTAAAAGTACTTTAAATGCACAGAAATTGTTTTTATGATGATAGTGACTACTGCTCTTGGAGTATGGGTTATTTTTTTAAACTGGTAACAGATCTATATTTGGCAAGTAATTCTTGCTCACTGTACTCTCCACTCTTAAGAATGAGGCCCTCTCCTCTTTTTAATTAAAGTCAACAACGAAACCCCCCTATAACTCTCAGTACAGAATGTTATAGTAGGAGGACAGATCACCAGAATTGGAAAGGGAAAAAGCGCTGTTTGTAACATGTAGAACACCAGTTTCAGTACTTAAATAAAAGGTAGATGTTAGTTTACTCTGAGAATGGTATTGCCTTTAATTTATATGACACAATATGATTTAGAAGGATTAGGACGTAAGTTATTTTCTGTGAGGCTCAGAATGGTGGTTGAGGAAGAGGAAAGGAAAAACATCTTGATTTTTTTGAATCAAGAAAGAAGTAGAGGGACTTACAAAGGTTATTAGGGAAGTAAGCAATGGGGACAAGGGTAGAATACAATTATTTCACTACTGTGTCTTCTGCTGCTTTCTGGAAAAGATATGATGAACCTTACTAAGACTTGTACAGATGTTAGTGGAAAATGTTTAGGCCAGCACAGGTGGGCTCCTGTGACCTCTTTTTCTCACAGAACGGTTGTTGTCTATAGTTGTCAGCAGGTGTATTGATGGCTGCAGAATTTTTCCAAGGTAGCTTTTTGGAAGCATAGTCCAGGATCTCTGTCCCTTATTAGTCAGGAAATGCTCTCATATCTCACTTGGTTTTTTACAGCAGGTGTGTGAGGTTGGCAGGGCTGATCTTATTTTATTTACAAATGAGAAAATTAAAACACAAGAAACCAAGGAATTTGCTCAGGATTTCATTTTCAGTGAATAAAGAATTGGAAATTATAACTTCAAGATATCTTTGTAGCATCAGTATTGTTAGGTTTGGAGAGTACCTGAGAAGACATTCAGATTATTATTCTTTAGTTGTACATATTAGATAGCAAGTTCAGAAAGATTAAGTGACTGTGTTTGACTTCATGTAAATGTTTTATCTTTTCCATTAAAACATTTTGTGTTGAGTTGCAGTAGTTGAATCTGATTTTTCTTTGGATCCAGAGATGCTTTACTAAAGCAGTTTCCTGTACTGTCAGAACATTTCAAGAAAGTTACAGTTTAAATTTAACATGTAGTATCCTGAGTTTGAGTACAGTTTCATTTCCTAACACTGGAAAAGATACTTGTTGAAAGCTTTCTTTTTTGTTTCCCTTCCATCTATAGTTTTTTGACCGTATAAAATTATTTGGAATGCCTGCTAAACATCAGCCTGATCTTATCTACCTCCGCTATGTGCCTCTTTGGAAGGTACACATTTTCACAGTCATTCAGCTTACTTGTCTGGTTCTTTTGTGGGTGATAAAAGCTTCAGCTGCTGCAGTGGTTTTTCCCATGATGGTAAGTTTTTTTCAGATTTATTTTGTCATCAATTAATGGCAAGATTGTATATTTTCATAGTACTTCTTTTTAAATTTATAATTAATTTTGAGGAAAAGAATAGGCCATTTTAAGCATCTTCAGAATTTGAAGATGTGGGTTACCTCTTTGTAGCTATAAACCAATTCTTTTCCAATCTGAATTTTTGTGTCATTTTCTAGGTTTGTTTAACTTTTTTTTTGGTCTTGGACTGTAAGAGCTCTAGTTTCTTTTGTTTTACTATTTTGTTTTTCCTTCTCATTTGCTATGGTGCTGGGAGTCAAACTCAGGGCCTCATACATGCTAAGCAAATGCTTTACCAGTGTATTATACCCCCATCCCTAGAGTTCTGTTTTGTGCTTTTAAACAATTTAAAAATTTCTGAAATCTGTTGGAACAAATATAATGCCAAATTAAAAAAAGAAAAGCAACTAAAACAACATAGTTCTTTAATACATTATTTCAAAATGCCTTTTTTTATAAATTGATTATCAAGAAGTTAAAAAGTTATGAAGACTATAAGTAATTTTATGTAGCAGATTGTAACAAGTTAATACAAATTGCATGGTTTAAAGCAACCAAAAGTTATTGCCCCATAATTCTGGAGGCTGGAAGTCTGAAATCAGAGTGTGACTGGGGCTATGCCCCTTATGAAACCTGTGACGTCTTTCTGTGCTTCGACGTAGCTTCTGGTGCATTGCTGCCACCCTTGGCATTCCTTAGCTTGCAGTTGCATAACTGCAATCTGCTTTTGTCATCACATAGTGTTCTCTGTGCCTTCCCCATTTGGCATGACATTTTATAAGGTCACACTTCATATTGTATTAGGAGCCCACCCTTTTCCAATATGACAGTTTCTTAATTACATATGCATAACCCTTGTTGAAAGAGAACTATGTATACTGGGAAGGAAGTAAGTTCATCTTCCCTATCTGACAGTGTGTTCAGAAAGAAATTATAAATGAATTCAGGACTTAAATGGTAAAATAAGGTTATAGTAGAAAATTGATAAGAATATTTGCATAACCTGGTGAGTGGGAATAACTTTCAAAAAAGGTGAAACCCAACTGAGAAAGAAAGAAATATTCTTGACTATGTGATCATTAAATGTTTTTTTCTATGTCAAATGATATTATAAACAGTAAAAATCATAATGTGAGCTAGGAGAAAATATTTGTAACATAGGAAAATTGGAGAGTTTCTGTCCAAACCATACAGAACTCTTACACATTTGTAAACAATTTAAAAATGGGCAAATGACCACAGAATTACAGCTGGACAATAAATACATAAAGAAATGCTCAACATCACTGGCTATTAGGGAAATACAAATTAAAACAATACTGAGATTCCAACTTACTCCAGAATGAATGGCCATAATCAAGAAATCAAATAATGACAAATACTGGAGAGGCTGTGGGGGAAAAAGGAGTCCTTTGACACTGTTGTTGAGAATGTAAACTAGTACAGCCTCTATGATAATAAGTATGGAGATTCCTCCAAAAACTGAAACTAGAAATTCCATTTGACTCAGCTATTCTCCTAGGTATCTTCTAGAAAGAGTTAAAGATATAATATTATAGAGACGCATGCCTACTCATATTTATAACAGTATAGTTCATTTATAGTAGGTGAATCTTAGAAGTGGCCCACATGTCCACCAACAGATGAATAGATAAAATGTGATATTTATATAGCGCGGAGTACTGCTCTTCCATAAAGAAATATAAACTTGAATCATTTATAGGAAAATGGATGAACCTAGAGACCGTAATGTTAAGTGAAATAAATCAGACGCATAAGTTTAAAGATCACATTGTTTCTCTTACATGAAAAACCGAAGGTAAAAATAGAGAGTAAAATAAGTGATAGATTATACAAAGTAGGGAGATAGATCCTTTTCAAAGGGGAAGGAGGTCAAGAGATGGAGGGAGAGTGATAAAGGAGAGAGATAAAGGATGTTTTATAGCATTAGAAGAGTGTCGAGTAGATTTAAAATCTTATTTCCTTTTTTTCTTCCTGTGTAGCTTTTCTAAAAAGCAGACAATTCAAAAACATAAATAGGTGACTCAGTTTCTTTGCAATAAGATTGCAATCCATTTCTTTTCAATGGACAAAATTAATTTTTAAGCAAAATACATGAAGTATTTTCCCATTATTTATAAGATTTAATAACTTCCTCTTGAAATGATATAATTTAAGTTATTTAATATTCCCTCTCCTTACTTTTAAAGGTTCTTGCATTGGTTTTTGTACGCAAGCTCATGGACCTGTGTTTCACAAAGCGAGAACTCAGTTGGCTTGATGATCTCATGCCAGAAAGTAAGAAAAAGAAAGAAGACGACAAAAAGAAAAAAGAGAAAGAGGTAAAAAAGACAAGAATGTTAGATTCATACCATTCTCTTATTTAGTATTTTGTACTATTTAATGTACCATGTAATAAGGACTATGATAATCACCTTATTGAATGAGTTCTTTTAATCCTCATAAGATCCTTAATAAGGTATAGATACTTTTTTTCTATTTGACAAATAAAGGAAACTGAGTCAGAGATACTAGGTAACTTGTCTTAAATACTGCCTCATTCCTGTTTCACAATCTTGTCCCTCTGCACCTCTGACACAAGAATATTTTTGGAAAGTTTCTTATTTGTGTACTTAATAATAGAAGAATTAGAGTTTTTAGTAGTTTTGAAAAATAACAAAGTAATTTTGTATCATCATCTGATTTAACTATATGTACATTAACTACATTAATTTTAACAATCTAGTATACACTCGTTAAAAGTTGAAGTAAATACCTTTTTAAAAATGTATATTAAAGCTTTGGTAATTTTTTTTTTCACTTTGAAGTGGAGTTTTGCTGTGTTACCTAGGCTGTTCTAGAACTGGTAGATTTGTGATTCTCCTACCTTAGCCTCTTAAGGAGCCTGGGCTGTGGCCTTTTCAATGGCCCCAGCAAAGGCATAGTCTTCCTGTGCACTGTTATGTACCACTGTTAGTTGTTTTATAGACTTAGATATAAACATGAATGCTTCATTCTGAATATGTTTATTTTTAATTAATACTATGGTATTACTTAGGAAAGAAAAGTGCAGGCTAAATATGTGTCATTAATGACTTGTTTTGTTTTGTTGGTACTGGGAATCGAACTTGGGACCTTGTGCTTGTGAAGCAGGCAGCTCCACCACCGAGCCAAATCCCCAGCCCCAAATATTTTGATTGGAGTGATACTTAATTTTATCATACACAATATTATTTGAAAATCAAGCATAAGAAAGATACACATTTTTAGAGGTAGAAAAATTACTGATTTTGTTTATTTTTTGGCAAAACATTGTAATGATACTACAATTACTATGATATTGCTATGATATTAGGACTATTTACTTGAGGCTCCAAGTATTTGTTTTCCTTCAAGTTAATATGTAAATACATATTAGTGTTTCTTACAGGATATAATTTATTTATGAAATACTTAGGTCAGGTTACCTGCTTGTCATTTCTTATATCAGTTAAAATAAGGCTTATTGGTACATAATGGAAATCAAACATGAAATTGACCTTTTTTTAAAAGTAAAAGTGACTTTTAAATGCAAGTATTTCTCCAAGTAAACGAAGTCTCAAAAGTAGGTGTCCTGGTGATGCAGCTCCATAGAGTTGTCAGGGCCCTTTATTATATTCCTCCTGCTCTTGGCAGGTGAGATGTGGATTTCTTCCCTCCTCCAGTTTGCCTCCTGGGTCAGAAATGGCTGCTGAATTCCAGGTATCAAGTTAGCTTTGGACAGGCAAGAAGAAGGAAGGGCCAGAAGGCAAAATGGCCCTTATTTTATTGTCATTTTTTCGAGGGTCTTTCCAAAATAATTTGTTTGTACCATGTGTCCCCCGTTTGCAAGAAATGCTGGGAAGTTTATGTAGCCAGTTGATTCTTTGTTTTATGTTAAAAATTAGGCCACACTGCTACCTGCAAATAGTAGGATTTCTATTAGTAAGAAGAGTATGAAATTGGTCTCGCCTGTATTACCATATTGCCTACCCCATTAGTAACATGTCATAATTTGAATCTCTGCTGCACATTTGGTTCTCAGCTTCCAGCATATCATCTGCACAAGACACCGTTGATTGTCACAGCTGGACATTCAGTGGGTAGAAGCTAGGAAGCTGCAAAGTCTGTTATATGTATACACAGGGCTACCTCCTACAACAAAGAATTATTAGTCTAAATGTCAGTATTGCTAAGGTTGAAAAATCCTGCCTTATCAAAATGAGGTTTTAGTCATATTGTATTATGATGAAAAACAAGAGACTTCATGAAATTTTCTCTCATTACATACCTATGTAATAACTGATGCTTCAATTTATGTAAATTGATTTCAAATAGTAGTGATTCACTTTCAGAATCAATGTTAACACCCATTAAATGAATGTTACACCCATTTAACTCAGTGGTGCCACTGCCTGCCTTGCAAGTGCAATGTCCTGAGTTCGATCCCCAATACCAAAAAAAAATTAATCTTTGTAAGTAGTTTTCAATTCATGCTATGAGTTCATAATTATAAAATGAAATTTTCAGTTATGTCAGATATATTACGTTTAAGTAATGTCAGTTTGAGTGTCTTAAGTCTTTAAGGTGTTCTAGTACCTGTCCTCTTGGAAATATTCTGGGAAAAATAATCTGTTCACATATGTGTTCCACAGGAAGCTGAACGAATGCTTCAAGAGGATGACGATACTGTGCACCTTCCATTTGAAGGCAGAAGTCTCTTGCAAATTCCAGTTAAGGCCCTCAAATACAGGTGAGATATAACTTTATTTTGTAAAGCAGTGTATTTCATACCTGTGTCAAGGACATGGATAAGTCATGTAATACTTTAGTGCTTTCTGTTTTTAAAAGATGGTAAAAATTTGGCATATGAATGAAAAGACACTTCACACAGTTGGAAAAGGAGGTCTCTTGGTGCCTTTCTACCCAGATTCTACCAAGAATGAAGAAAATCTAGAGTTGGATGAGAGCCTTAAACTGTCATGCCAAGCCAAGATTCACTTGTCTTCATTCCACTTGTTACAAGGAAATTTAAAACCAATATACAGATGTCAAAATAATCCCATCCATTTTTCTAGTCAAAATAGTATTCCTTTTTCCTTTCTTCAGCTGGGCTAGGATGAGTGTGTGTTGGAAAATAAAACATTTATAGTCCATTTTCTTATAACCTTCCAATATCTACTGGTGTAGAGGCTCTGCAGCACTCCTAGTTTCCAAGAGTATACTTTCATTATTGGCAGCAGGTTGCATTTATAGTTGGTCATATATTATTTTGGTGAGAGTTTGGGAAATGTATTTTTTGTAGTTTAAAAAATTAAAAACATATATTATTTGTCTACATTTTGGTTTGTATTTCTACACATTTACATTTCTGATTAGCTGTTTAGAGTTGAGAATTCAGTTGTGTGCACACTGTATGTAAATTCCTTCTCTGACCAGTTGGGAAAGGTTCATTGGTACAGTATTTAACTAATTTGCTTCAGTAATTTTTTCATCTTTTTTTGGCAGGGGGGTTTACAGGGTCACATTTGGTCTTGTTGCATGTTGGTTAGCTGTGATAAATTAATCAAGTTAATTGTCTTCTGTGCCTTTTGCTATTCGTTTCTACCATTGGTATTCTATGTTACTTTTTCATGATTTCCCCTTGAATCTTGTTTGTTTTTTTTGAGACAAGGTCTTGCTGTGTAGTTCAGGTTGGTCTTGAGCTCACTATAGCCCAGGCTGGCCTCGAATTCACAGCCATCCTTCTGCATCAGCCTCCCGAGGACTGGGATTACAGGCATGCCACCATGCCCAGCTCCCTTGAATCTTGTTTTTTATTTTATTTATTTATTTATTTGTTTGTTTGTTTATTTATTTATTTATTTTTTAATTTTTTGGTACCGGGGATAGAACTCAGGTCCTTGTGCTTGTGAGGCAGGTGGCGGAACTATTGAGCTAAATCCCCAATGCCTCCCTTAAATCTTAATATACTTTGCACACTATAGAAATGATCCCTGAAAGTATAGCCTTTCATACGTTTTAAATTCAGTGCCAAGTGTAGCAGTCTTAATTTATTCAGTTATGATGGACTGTTTTGCTGGGTTTTATAAATGTGTGTTATATGAATTTTATTGGTTGTATCTCTAAAGTAGGGTTAGGGTATAGGAACTGCCATGAAGCTGATTAGTAACTCAGTTTCCTAAGGTTACTTATCACTTGATTTCTGTCCTGCTTTATCATTTTCTCAGTATAACTGAACTTCACAAGTTTAAAATGGAATTTATACTGTCTGGTATGTACCAAAGAGAATAGATACCTGAGTTTTTTCTTTTGTTGTTTGTTTTTTTTTAAAACTGGTGACATGATTCACTGTTAATACTGCTTTTCTTAAAAATGGAAATGTCAAGAGGCCAGGTGGGGTGGTACAGGCCTGTATTCCCAGACCTGGGGAGGCTGAGGCAAGGAAAATTGTTTCAAGTTCAAGGCCAGTGTGGGCTACATAGTGAAACCCTGTTCAAAAAGGAAGGAAACATCAAGAATGCCAAAAAATGGCTCCTATTTTTTGCCAGAACTTTTCTTCTTAAATAGTTTTGGATTACTTGCCATGTAGATTAAATGAGATATTATATGAAAACATTTGGAAAATATAAAGCTCTCTGAAATATGAAAATAATTTATATAATGAAGACAAACTTTTTATCTAGTTTTATTTTGAGATAAAATATATACTCTATTCAGAAAAGGGTGTTAATTTCTGTTAATGGGAAAATTCTTACTTAGAAAAGTTTAGAAGCTAGAAACTACATTGGGAATTCATTCTCTCTTCAGTTATTTTAAGTCAGCAACCTAGTGAATAAATGCTTGCCTAGGAGGAGTTGCAGGCTGCACTGCCCTGCCATTGTGAACTTGGGTGAGACTCTTCCGTGCCTCCATCACATTTCTCTGTAGTCTTACTTTTTTTGTTTGTTTTTTTGATTGAACTCAGGACCTTGAGCTTGTGAGACAGGTGCAACACCACTGAGCTAAATCCCCTGGCCCCAATAATCTTAAATTTTAAACAGCATTTTGACTTAACATTATCATCAGAGCTAGTACTGCTATTTAGTCATCATGACCTCACCACTATCATGTTAACATCTAATTTGACGCTGTTTGTATATGTAGCTTGATTGCATGAAATGTTTTTCTTTTAGTAAGGAAAAAAAGACTTGAAGATATTTCTGTTCACCTTATGGAACTTTCATACTACTTGTGACTGATAACCTTGAGCCCTAAATTAACTATTTATGATGTCATTATTATTGGATTTAGGGTCTTTCATTCATTTTTGCAGTAGTTCATAGACACATAGAATTGTGACATTTATCCCTTATAAGAAATGGACAGTATATTCTTTTGATTTTGATACATTTGAGCTGGGGATTTAGCTCAGTGGTGCCTTAAAGCATAAGGTCCCGAGTTTGATCCCCAGTACCACAAAAAGAATGCATGATTGTTTTTAGTGCACATTGACACTAAAAATGTGAATGCCAGCCCAAATGGGACTTATAAAGCTTTTCTAGTATTTTTAATACTTTTTAGAACTTTGTTCTTAGTTGCAAAGTGTCATTGTTCTTTTTTGAATGACTTATATAGACTATGACAAATAAGGACATTTTATTGCTGTGTTGCCTACCTGGCCCTGAACATACTGCTCTGCCTTAGCCTCTCAAGCAGTTAGGATTGCAGTGTGTCTTGCTTTGGGTTTTTTTTTTTTCCATTATAATTTTTTCTTGTATATTGTGGATTTTTATTTAGGAGACTGAAATGTATGCCAATTATGAAAGGTTTCTAATTTATTCTGGTTTTATATTTGAGCATATTAATATATCTTTTATATTATCTCAATACTATATAGCCAAGGTGACCAGAGGGCATCATTACTGGAGTACTGCTGAAGTACTACTGAAACCCAAATCAAATTCTTAAAGCAATTCTAAAGATATTGTTTGTTTGTTTGTTTGTTTGTTTGAGACAGGGTCCTGCTATGAAGTCCAGGCTTGCCTTGAATTTATGTCAGTCTTCCTACCTCACCTTCCTGAATACTGGGATTACAGGCATGAGCCACATGCCCAGCTGAATTTTGCTCATTTAATTTTATGCTTAGTTTTAATCATAAAGGAAGATGTAATTCTTCATGAGGTCTTTACAAATTGAACTCCAGAATTTTAATGCCTTGATTTAAATGCATCACAAGTGGTTTTTTTTATTTTATGCTGATGAAAGCAAATAGTTATATAGATATAAAAATGACAGTATTAATGCTTTGCAAATACTGTATACTAACCATAAAGTGTATTTGTTCCTCAGTGTTGATCCCTCAGTGGTTAATATATCAGATGAAATGGCCAAAACTGCACAGTGGAAGGCACTTTCCATGAATACTGAGAATGCCAAAGTAACCAGATCTAACACGAGGTAGTTATAACTATTTATGCATTTTCAACCCATTGCCAGTGTTCAGTTTACCTCCAGAGACAGTAAAATATTAACACTTTACTTCCCCAATTCATATTTGCCTTAGCAAAATCAACATTCCTGCCTCTCTTCCTCACTTCTCTCTTTTATCAATTTATTATTATTAACTGATCAGGTACCAGTAATGATTCTGTTATATAATTTTTAAATTTATGTGGTTGCATATTTCAAAAAAGAATTTAAACTGTTTTTATGAAAAATAAATTTTCATGTGGCAGCATAGATGAGTAAATGGTTAAAAAACACAAAGAATGATAATTACTAGAAAGTAAATAAATATTCTAATTGAACACTGTCTCAGTCATGCTTTTTGCTCATCCATGGGGGGAAACAAAACAGTTTTTTTCTTTCTTATATTTTGATTTGTTTTGCTTTGCTTGGCTTGGCTTTAGTGTATCACTTCTTTAGGTAAGGTAAATGTTTCCCTGGGGATATTTGCAAGAAATTAAATTCATTAATATAAAGGCCATTATAATGGACCATGTATTAAAACTCATGTAACCCTTTACTTATATTTCTTCTTAGGTAGCACTTTTTTCTTCACCCTCACTACGTGGCCTGAAACCTTGGGAATTCTATTTTGATTGTTTTTCGAACTGTTATTCTCAGGTCTCTGAAGAAGTGAAATATGTCTTCCAAGACATACACAGCTATTGTCTTAGGTTTACCTTGTGTCAGATGCTTTGTTGGGTATGGTAATAAATTTGCTTGAGCTTCAGGTCAAGACCTTCCCAAGAAGGCAGCCATGTGGCTAATCTGTTAATTACTGTCTATCTGAACTCTTACCTGGTGATAATTAATTAGCTTTTTCTCATTCTTGCCGTCTACCTATAGAACCCCTTTCTACATTTCTGTCAGCAGCATGTTTTATTTTTCTATCATTGTTTCTTGAGTTTTAGTTTTCTAAGCTGTAGTATTTCCTATTTAAATTTCTATTTTTTGTCTGTAAGTTTTTGTCTGTTGTATGGAGATAGGGTTGTGCTAAATTATCCAGGTTGGGTTCGAACTCACAGTGCTCCTACCCTAGCCTCCTGAGTGCTGCGATTACCAGTGTGTAATACCTTGCAAAGTTTTAAAGTTGAATTTTTGTCATTTTGGATCATACAGCAAGAACCTCACTGATCTCTTTACTATTGGTTACTGTTTTCACACTCTTGGCCCAAGATGTTACATAGTTATGATAAAAATAAAGGCCTTCTAGTAATATTAACATATCTCTATACTTATACCTTTCATTGATTTAACTCCTTTATTCCAGTTTTATATGTGCTGCTGAAGTGAGCGTTTAACTCCTCTATTCCAAATCACATGAGAATAAGGATAATGTTTGGAAATGTCATTCTGACAGAAAAATGTTGGGTTGTCTTTTCTGTTTATTTGGAGAAGGCAGCAAGCAATAATGTATTTCTCTACTTTTTCCATTTTTTAAAAAAAATCCAGGTGTCTTGACAAATCAACCAGTTAAATCCATATGTAAGGAGACCTTGTGTATCATACTAATTTAAAAATGTAAAATAAGTATTGTAACATGTAAGGAGACCTTGTGTATCATACTAATTTAAAAATGTAAAATAAGTATTGTGCTGGTGAGCCAAATTTAGGAAAAGAAATTTTGCCAGTTTGTTACTTTTTTAAGGAAATTACTTGATACTTACCTACATTAAAAGAGATTTATGTTAGTGGATTTTTCAGTGAAATAAAAGTCAAGTGCTTCAACTCTTGTTTATGTATGAAGTAAAACTAATAAAAATTGTTATATACTGACTCATTTTAAAGAACTTCAGTTTAAAAACATCAATTTCAGTTGATGACATAATTTTTGAAAAACTAAGAATGTTTGTTTGTTTTGTTTTTGCTTTTTGGTACCAGGGATTGAACTCTGGACCTTGTGCTTATAAGGTAGGCTGTGGCACCACTGAGCTAAACCTCCCAGCCCCTAAGAATTTTTAATATATGACTTTCTGGTTGAGTTACTGGTACTAAAATGAGCAGTAAAATTTAGTTAGCAAGCCATGAGTTAGTAGTGTTATTGAATAATCACCTCAAAAGGTTTTAACATAGACACTCAATGTTGGCCATGTTTAGAATCTAGTATTTGTTCTTTTAATTTTTTTTCTCATTCTTTGTTTTAAATAGCCCTGAAAAACCTATGAGTGTGACAATAAACTTTGAAGATGAACCATCAAAGAAGTACATGGATGCTGAAACTTCATTATAGAACTGACCCAAGCAGAATTATATATAGATACAGATGTATATCTAGAATGTGTGTGTGTGTGTGTGTGTGTCATATCACTATAACAATGTTGTATGTCATGCTGTGTATGCATGACTACTGGGTTTTTTAAAATAATACCTGAAGTTTGTTATAAGCACCATGGAGACTATGTATATTAATGAAATGGTCTCTTAGAAATGAGGTACATGGTTATTATTCAAATATTTATTTTGTCGGAAAAGAGCTTTTCTATTCTGCAGTAGAATGATGTGGAGAAATACACAGTAGGCTTTTCTTGAATCTCTTTGTTCATCAGTAGCTCTTCATACCAACCTTACGTGGTACATACTTAGTTTACATATTTATCATTTTTACTTGAGTGTCTAAAATTTTTCACATATTATTTCACCTTGGTTAGCTTAGTACTTTATAGGAAGAACAGAGTCCTTATGTCAGTGCTGTGAAAAACACAACATGTCATAGCTTCTCTGTTTGCTGTTTCTGTGGCTGCCCACCGTGTTGCACAAGTGATGGCATTTTCTTGGCCCTAGAGGTGATTGGACAACAGTGGAGACTTTCAGTATAGGAACTATAGTTTTTAATTTTTTTTAAATCTTGAAACTTCCATATGTAGGTATCATTCTCAAAGCTAGGTATTTATAATTTAGTATCCATGCCGGTTGTAACTATGAATTTTAGAAGCTATAAAATGCCAGTTTACAATGAATTTTGTTACCTTTTTAGAGAAATATTTTCTCAAGACTTACACTTTCTTTAGAATTCATAAATCCTCTATTCTTTGCTCTTGCTCTCTTAAAGTGAAATAATTTGTATCAGGTTCAAGTTCTTGATTAGATTTCCATTATAAATAGTGTGATCAAGTAATCAGGAATCAATTCTTTCATGGGTTATGATCAGTATTACTTTATTAAGAATTACCTTTCATTTTCTTACTGTTACTTTTCTTATATAGATTATATTTAATAGGTATTCCCCATGATTTCATTTTTAAATATTTATTTTCATTGATATGCTTAATTATATAAACATTTGAAAAGATAACCAATATAGAGTAAATTGTAAAGAATTGGTGCTCAGTTACATTTACGTTTATTAGCTGAAATTGACAAATTTTGCATTTTTGATATAAAGCACTGCCATACTTGTCTTTTAAAGAAAATTAGACTTACGTGTAGCTCAATTGATGGCATTCTTCCTATTTTTTGTTACTATTTTTTAATTTAGTTTTTCTTAGCTGCCTTTTTAACTTCTAGCAAATCATTTTAATCATCTTTTATATGCTCTTAGTTCCACACTCAATAAATAAACGTTACTGTTAAGCTTGTAGGACTGGATGAATGGGATTGTGAAACTTATTTGGCAAGAGACTAATTTGCGAAATCCAAGTGAATATTGAGAAGCTACAGAAAGAAATACTGGAGATGGCAACATGTATATTAGGAAAAAAATTTTAGTGAAATTCCAGTGCCCCCTTTAGTCATTTATAATTAAAAGTAAAAGTATGAATAATTGATCCTGAAAGAAGATCAGAAAAATGCCAAAAACCGCTATTTTAGCAGTTCTGAAGTGTTTTCAGTCCATTCTCAATTACATAATAACTAATATAATTTTCTCTTCTGCAGATTCTAGTAAAATAATAAATCAAACTTGTGCCTCACCTGAGATGTTGGAAATGTAACTGCTTTTCTTTGAAAATATAATTGGCATCATTTGGTACTGCCTGAAAAAGAGTTTTAAACTCTACTGGCAATTGACAGAGTATTACCCATGGTGCTTATCATCATTTATGTGCTTCCATTTAAGTGATTACTTTTTATTCATAGCAGCATAGTCAGTTCCAAAGTCCCTGGTATCTGCTGCTATTTTTTTTAACTCCCCCTGATATACCTGAACAAGAAAATTTCCTCATATCATTTCCTTGTGTTTGGACATCAAAGAGTTAACAAATGCACTTATTTTATAGAAAGTGATTTTAAAATTCAAACTAAAAACTATCTGGGATCATAATGTTTTCTCTGATTTTATATAATTATGTATAGTATTTATCCAGTGCTAGAAAATCCATAACTTGTAAAATACTTAGCATTCAAAATGTTCTACTGTCTCCAATTACTAATGGCTTCTGCTTTCTTTTGACTACTTGATTAACAAAATGATCTGATGTGACTACTCCATTGAAGAACTAAGGTAACTTGTGTTTAAGTAATTAACTGCTTGTGTTAAGTGGGATCATGGATAGCATTCATTGCAAGACAGTGAAAGACACAATTTACTACATATTGATTTTTAAGTGTTGCCTTAAATAGGTGTATATGAGCAGTAGTAATTGCTGTGTACTGATTTACCTCAAGGTGCAAAATAATTAAACCTGTGAATATTCCATTACAAAATAAATTCAAACCAACAGCCCTGCACTTTCTTAGATGCCTTGATTTTCAGAATGGAGCTTAGTGCTACTGAATACCCTGGCCACAGAGCCATCTCAGGATATTCTTTTCTCCACCCTATTTTATTTATTTATAGATGTCTGTTTACAAAGACTATAATAAATTCTGATGTTAACCATCTGAAATTTACTTTCATTTGCTGTTTCAATCTAAAATAGCTTTTGAGAAAATGAGCTGAGTTCCTTACAATAAAAGGATGACTATATATTTTTAATATTAGATATACTGATACAGTCTTTCTAAAGCATATTTGTATGCATGTGTGCGTGAGTGTGTGCACGCGCACGTGTGTGTGTGTGTGTGTGTGTGTGTGTGTGGTTACCCATCTTAATCTCATGTTGTTTAAAGCTGTGGCATACCAGTGTTCATATTTGCCAAGTCTTTTGTAAAATGTGTTGGATAAAATTCTTATGTGCTAATGCATATATTTATAAAGGAGATTTGTTTACCACTCAAAATTAATAACTTTTATTTCTGTTTTCTTCATCCAAAAACATGTCTGTTTTTCCACATACTCAGTTTCTCTGTGAGTACACTAGCTGACTTTCTCCTTCACAAAGGCGGGTTCAAAATTCTGTGTTAAAAAAAAAAAAAAACAACTGGTCTCTTCTAATACTAGAACTTGCAACTTAGAGGATTTTTATTGTGTACATCAGTTCTGTAAATGTGCTCTACAGTTTAACAGTTTCTCATATGAAACATCCTGTTTCAGAGTGCTCCGATTTTAGATATGTAAGCCATTGATAAAACATTGCAATTCAAAACTATTTTAAATAACTTAATGTTTTAAATTTTATTTATGTAGATTCATGCCATTTTATCATATACAGTAGTCTTATTTCAGCAGTTATTTATTTTTAGAAGGTACATTTAAAAACTAAGAACATTCAAGCTTTAAAATAATGTTTAAATTTCAAAATTTGGCAATCTTAATGTAGTCTCTTCTAACTTCAGAAAGTAAAATAAGTGTGTGTCAGTTATAGAAAAACATAGTTGAGAAAGGAATCATCTAAAGATCTTTTAAATTACCACATACTTTAGAGTAATTGTTAAGCCCCACTTTTGTTTTTAATCAGTTTTTTGCACATTGATTGGTTTTTTGTGCTGTGGCTTTTCTTACATTGCTTTATTATTCAAGGTTTTTGTTTTTGTGAGAGGGTCTTTCAATGTTTACTATGTTTAAATAAATAATGAATTTTATTGTTTATTTATGTAATATTTGATACCTTGGTGTAATTTCACATTCTAAGTAGAATTTTTATGACTTTTATAATTACAGTGATATTTGCTTTTGTAATAAAATCCAAAGTAAATTGAACATTAAATTGTAGAATTGATATTTTTCATTTATATGAAGTTCAAGTCTATCTAAGTCTATAATGTGAACCGTCCTGCCTTTCACATTTGTTTTGTAATTGTGAAAAAAATCCTATTTTTTGTAGATATTAATAAAGTTGAAAGCAATAAAAGTGTACTTAATTAATTGTTGGCTATTGTCTTTACTTTGTATTTTATTGGAAGAGCTGTATATCTTTCTCAGCTTGAGATGAGATAGGGATTGAAAATGAGTGATTGGTATGTTCTGCCTGCCTCCTAATATTTGTATACTTTAGGAGAAGAAAGAAAAGAGGGGGAAAAGGTGAAATGAAATAGTATTTCACAATGGAATTTTCATAGTTAAGAATTTTTGAAAATACCCTTTGTTAATGCTAGCCTTAGCTTTGTCAGCCTCTACCATTTTCTCTTTAAAATTAAAGCTTTTTCCTGTTTTGTTTTTTTTTAAAGAATTGTTGAAAATGAAGTCCTTTTTACAAAGCTGGTTTATTTTTTTCCTTATTTTAAGACTATTTTCCTGGGTGATGTGTAGTCATTTGCATGATAGTACTGAAATTATAGGCAGGCTCTGCTTGTTTTTTATTGTTGTTGTTAATGGCTAATTTTACTACATATTTTTTCCTCAATAGCAAATAAGTCTTGTCTGTTTTCTGTAATATATCTATGTATATATAATATATTAGTATGTAATTATATGTATATATAATATATATATAAACACTTTCTTCATGTTTTTTGTACTGAGAAACTTCTGATACTTTATGAATTTAATAATGTATGAAAGTATGATGGGCTAGGGTGCTTAATAGTTTTGGACATTTCATGTGAAAGTTTGATGTTAGGAAAAGTGTTTTTGTCAATTTATAATTCCCATCTATCAAACATCAATTTTTTTTTTAACCAGGAAAGAGGAAAGGGAACCATGATTTTCTCATTTCTGTTTGATCTAACCTTGACATTCCAGTCTCCATGCTTTTATTTAAATGTTTCTGTTATTTGGAAAACCTGCTTTTTTTCAAAGCCTAGTTACTTCATATTCTACTGTACCTTCTGCTTTCAAGGCTACATCATTCTCAGCCCTTCTCTTCAGCTGTGTGGGAGGGTGACTGTGTTTGAAGTAACCTTTTCTTGCCCTTAAACCGTTGGTCTAGAGGCATTTTAGAAGTTTGAGGAAGTGATTTATCTTCTTGTTTGAGTTGACCCTATCTATTTCAGTGCTTATTGTTACTTTTTTTTATTCTACAGTTAAAATTTTGTAGTTTACTTTTGAAGTATATAATTGGTGTATATGCATTTTAGCATAATAAAAAAAATAGAGAACAAAATGAAGTTATTAGGTCTCAGATTTGAGTCCTACTACATAAACTGTAAGTATTGGACAGGTGTGATTGCTTTGGTCTTTTACACATAGCACATTACAGAGCACAGTTTGGACCATTAACACTTGGAGATGTTAGTGTACCTCTCTTCTAGAGCTGGTGTCTTTTATACCTTTTACATCTACACAGTTTAAAGTCACTTTTATTTTTTAATTAATTAATTAATTTATTTATTTATTTTGGTGTGTATTGGGGATCAAACTCAGGACCTTGCACTTGCAAGGCAAGCAGCAGAACCACTGACCTAAATTCCTGGCCCCTAAAATCACTTTTAGAGAAAGCCAAAATATTAATTAAGACACTTTATTTCTTCTACAGAGAAGTAGAAAGGTGTGAGTTACATTCCATATATTGCTGAAGATTACGACTTGAAAACAGACAGGAGTCATTGTTACTTAGTGCTTAATGATTAGATTGTGTAGAATATTTTTTACTCAGCATCAATCTTCCTTTCACCTTTTGGGATTTTTTTTTATTGGTAACATTCTCATGGGGCCGGGGATTTAGCTCAGTGGTTCGGTGGCCTGCCTTGCAAGCTCAAGGACCCGAATTCAATCCCCGGTAAAAAAAAAAAAAAACATTCTCATGGTTTTATGCTCTAAATTTTAATTAGTGTCATATTCACCTGAATTTGGCTTTAATTTAACCTTTCTGCATTCCTAAAGTATTATATTTTTTAAATTAAAAATGTGCTTGATAAATTACACATCCAAGTACTGTTGTCCCACTGTGATACTTACTCAAAACAGAGACATCAGGCCATGATTCATTTTAAATCAAGTTTTGGGGGATTTCAGCAAGCGTTGCCTGTTTTTTTCTTTTAAACTACAATAAAAACTGCAGCCTTTCAAAAAAAGTTGAAGTGACTTGTCCAAGGGACACAAAATGAGCTAGTAGTGATTGTTGCACCGTACCATACAGATCCCTTGATTCTGAGGTTTATTTTCACACCATTTTCTTGCTGCTTGAAACATCCAGTACGCTTGAGTAACTGAAAATATTTTGTGCCATATTAAAGGTATTTAGCACATTGCACTGATTTCTTTTCAAATTAAATCTGCTTTGGAGAAGAATTGATTTGACAGTGTAGCAATTCTTGAAACATTCCAAAATGAAAACTGTCCCCTCACCTATTTTAAAAAACCGGAGGCTGAGCACCCAGAATCCAGGAAAATTCACAACGTGTAGGAGACTGGTTCATAAGCAGGTGTATTTCAGGCTCAGGCCGCAGTACATCCTTGAGCGCCCCTTGCCGCCTCTTTTCCTTGGGGTTGGACCCTGCGCGTTCTTTGGTTGCTGAGGCAACTGACAGGCGTCATCCGTCGCTATGGCGCTCTGCACTTGGCAGCGTAGTCGTTCCTGATTGGATAAGTGTCTCAGCGAGGTGAAAGAAGAAGTGTTGGCATTGGCTCAGATGGCGCCGGTTGGTGGCCTAAGGGAAGACCGAAAACCCAACGGTGCGGCGGGCCGCTGTGCAGCCAGGATTGAGGACACCGAGTGAGAACTAACGGGAGGGCAGGACCCCGGCCCAGAGCAGCGAGTGACCGCACCAGCTACAATAAGAACAGTTTGAAGGAGGGTCTGTCCCTCCAGCGGGTGAGTGGGGCAGATCGTGTTCCTCTGGGCCAGCCTGCCGTTTGAAGCAGGGTCTCAGGGGAGATACCCTCAAGTCCTAGTGGCGCAGCCGCCGAGGCCTCAGAAGCCTCCTTCACTCATAAGTTAGGGACAGAATGCGGGCTGTCTCTCCCTTAGGTGAGTTAGTGTTGAGCCAGACTCCTCCAAGCAGATGGGGTTGGACTGGACGGATGGAATCGTTGGGAAAGTGCCATCAACAGTGTTTTTGATGCCGCTTCCAGTTCGAGAAAGGAACTGTTCTGGTTAAGTAGGGCCTGCCCGATGCCGCTGAAGGCTTATTCTTAATCTCCTTTGTCAGCATCACTTTTTTGCCGCCCTTTGACATGATACTGCTCTGGCTTTTCTGCATGCCTTTCTTCTCCATCTGGATGAGTTCATTTACTTCCATGCTTTCAGTCACCTTCTGTTGATGACCAGAAAGTCTCCATCTCAGCCTCTACTGCTCCCTTAAGAAACAGGTCCCAAGACCCAACTGCCAGTTAACTCCGCAAACATACAAGCCTAAATGTAAATGCCATTTTTCCTCACCCCTACCAGACTTGCATTCCAATCTTGGGTGTCACTATCCAGTTACCAAAATCATATCTTGGGCAGCATCCTTGACACAGCCTCTTCCTCTACATCTCCATAAATTGGCAAGGCTGTCCTCTCTAAACAGAGGTTGAATCAATTCCCACACCACTGTCTCCTTTCTCACTATCTTACAAATTCCAGTAGTGCCTTGGTTATATTTAACATGTCTCTGGCTTCCCTGATTTTAGCCTGCCCCTATCTGATCCATTTCTCTCACTATTGTTAAGCCCTGTTTCAAAATTAAAAAGGGATTGGGTATATAGCTCCGTGTGAATGCCCTGGATTCAATCTCCAGTACCAGAGGAAAAAAGTATTTTCTTCCCCTGAAATCTTGCAAATATCTCCCATTACCCTAATCCAGGCATCAGTTAAACCTTCCCTCATCAGTTCATCTTGGCTGTTTCTACCACACTGTCTCCTTTGTGGAGTTCTTTAACCTATTTCTTACACTGCCTGGGATGGACTTCCCCCCCACCTCTCCCTTACCAAGATCTCATTCTCTTTGTTTTGCCTAATTCCTTTCTGCTTCTTCCTTGGACACTTTCTGTAAAGGCAGGTGCTGTGTTTGTTTTACCATTGTTGTGTTACCAGAATCTGGAAGAGTGTCAGGGATATAGCAGGTACTCAACAAATTCTTGTTAAATGACTTTTGTTAAATGAACTGGTCAATGAAGCTTCTCTTTACAGAAAATGAGATATTGAATTTGCAGGTTTTATTTTAATTTCAAAATCTTTGGTAGGTAGAAACTATTTCAATTCAGTCTATATTATGATGTAAGCTGTTACTATATGGTGTCTTTACTTTCTCATTGCTGAGGCACAATTCCTAATGCCAGCAACTATAAAGAGGAAAGATTTATTTTAGCTCACAGATTGTAGAGGTTTCAATCTCTCATTGCTGGTTCCATTGCAGGGCAGCATGGCAGAAGGACATGGCAGAGGAGAAACAGCTCTGCATGGCAGCAAAGCCAAGGTGGGGGGGAGAAGAGGAGAGATCAGTAGAGGAAGGAGGGAGTTTAATCCATTGATGAGTATCACATCTCCATAATCCAGACACCTCCCCAAAAGTCCTATGTCCTAAAATCTGCTCTTGGTTGAATCAAAAGATTCAATGCACCTATGAATGCATGAGGCTTTACCAGGACATCTAAATATAAATGATAACATAGGGCATGAGTTACAAAAGAGTGACAGTACAATGTGGTTTGCAAGAATTAGGTTTTGGAGGTGTACTCACAAGGGTTTGGTTCCTAGGTCTAACATTTTACCTCGGTGGCCCTCTAGTCAGGTTTTTAAAATCTATACAATGGCCTGATATTAGCACTTGCCTCATGGAACTGTTTTCAAGATAAAATGTTCATACTCTATGCCAGGCACATAGTACCCTTTACCTATATATTGATTCACATTTAACACATTCCTGCTGGCTTGAATCACCAGTGATACACACATGACTGTCTCATGCTGCCTGATGGGACAGTCGTTCATGTATCACCAGTGATTCAGTGCTGCCCAGTAGTGAGACATTTAAGTTATGGCTCTGTCATGAATGTGTTAAAGCTAAAAACACACTAAATGTTAGAGTTGTGTATTTTCCATGGTCATTTACTAAAAGGTAAAATAAATCTTTTGATTGAGTCAAGAGCAGTTTGTAAGCCACCCTCTTGTCATGCTACTTGGTCATGAACTTTTGTGTGTGGCAACAGATCTGATACAGTAACAGACTCATTCATTCAATGAGTATGTTTTGAACATGTGATGGGTCCAGGCTTCATGACAGGTGAGGATGGGTCTAAAGAAAGTTCAACCTACCCTGTGAAGGATGTTAAAGAAGAGCCTAGATTGTTGCTCTTCATGTCAAAGCCAGTTACACTTTGAGTTTGAAGCTCAAATGAGTTGAGCACCTGGATAGGTAGAGAGGAACTCAAAGTTCATTTAGTCATCACTACATGTTTACTGAGCATCTCGGTATTCAGCAGTAAACAGAACAAAAGTACAGTTCTCTTATAACTATTGTCAGAGTCAGTGGAGCCGAGATTAGAGGACTCAAGACTCTCCAATCAGATTATCCTAGCTCCCCCCACCAATCAATATGGATCCACTGACAAGTTACTTAATGTTTTTGCACCTTGGGTCCTCACTTTTAAAGGGAAGTGGTTGTAAACCTTGTGTGAATTAACATAGGAAAATTTCATTGAATAGTGGTAGGTGTATAGGGAATATGGGTTAACTATTTGCCTTATGTTCTATGTGGGAGAGACAGGTAAGTAAACAGAAAGCAGAATGAGGGAACAGAAAGTGTTAGCCTGAGGATAAGGTGGGCTTGGGAATAAGTCCTATATTTTTGGAAGATTTGATCTTCCAGTAGAAAGTGAACTTTAAACATACTCATGTGACTGATATGTATCAAAATTAGGAAAATAAAAAAAGAATATAAGCCCTGAATACAGTGCATTACTTTTCATTTGGCAAAATAATTACTTGTATTTTTTTATTAGTCTTCCTTTCCTCTTAAGTAAAATCTTGAACAGTCATAATGAGAATCATCAACCTGAGGGCTTATTAAAGCGTACATTGGGAATATTTATAATGGACATGAATCCTAGCTTCAAAGCAGTCAGTAGGTCAGTGTTAAACATGATATCTGACTGGCTCATATCTAGAAACAAGACAGTAAAAGCTCTCCTGTAAAAATTAAAATAAAAACTAGAGGTAGAGCAGACAGACAGAGTACAGCAACTGTAACACTGACTCATGGCATCAGGAAAAAGCTACACGGTATGTAGCGCGCTTTGCCAAATATAGGAAGTTGTAGATTGACTTGAAGGAAGTACGTAAAAAGTAAATTTGCTTATTAAAGAGATGAATGTTTATCTAGAAACTTCACTCAGATGAATAGGGTGCTGGATGAATGCCACTGGTAAATAGGAGGAAGTGCAGCATTAGATTAACGCTACTTGCCAGCTGTGTAATCTAACACGTGGCTTAATTTTTCTGTGCCATGTTTCCCTCAGTGGGGTCAATAATGCTATCCACTTTATAATTTGTTAGACCTTGGAGTAATACATGGAAAACACTTAGAATCGTGTTGGCCCAACACACCACCATGTAAATATTTGCTTTCATTAGTATTGTAATTACCAGGTATGAGATCTTGGCCAAGTTACTTGGACGTTTAGTGCCTCAGTTTCTTCATCTGTAAATTGGAGATACAGCATTACCTACCTCAGGGGGTTGTTTTGAGGATTAAGTAAAAACACCAAAGTGCTGATAGGAAAATACCTTATCTTTACAAAGCTGAAACAAAGACTTTGTTACAATGAAATAATTCTACGTCAAATATTTGTCATCAGTGAGTCAAAGTGAATATAGGCCAATGGTTTAAAATAAGTACAAGATTGTCCAATTGAAGTAGTAACATAATTTTGTCCCAATTCCACCTTGCCATAGTAAGATTATTTCTAGTTTTTGTTAAATGAGAACACTGATAATCAGAGAAGTCCAGAGACCCAGGTCACTCAGTACACAAATGAAACCAGTTCTCTGCCACCATTGCTCCAAGGTTCTGGCCAGAAGGGTTCACATCCCCAGACTTGTAGCCTCACATTAGTGGAGGCCAAGGTATTCATATAATAGCGTATGCTACACTTGGCCCAATGTGAATACATTCTTGCTTTCAGAAATTTTATTGTCCTGTTCAAGACACGTGAGTTAGTTGATATTTAATCTTGTATCTATAAAGGGGTTTTCTCAAGCCCACATGCTACAGTTACTGGATATTGGTCAGATGGGACAAAGTTGTAATTTCTTGGTTCTTTATTATCTTTACCCTTAATATCTAAATAATGATACTCCAGTTGTATTCAGAGCTTCCCAGTCACATTTTACTAGGGCTTTGTTCATGAATTAATGCACTTAGTAACTTTTTATGGAATACATCATTTTGCTTTGTTTTGTTTTTGCTGGTACTGGGGATCAAACTCAGGACCTAGTACTCGCCAGGCAGGTGCAGCATATCTCAGCTACATTCCCCAGCCCTTGAATACATCTTTTGATTTAAACTGTGAATTATGTGCTACATGCAGAGGATGAATCAGCTACATCCCCAGCCCTTGAATACATCTTTTGATTTAAACTGTGAATTATGTGCTACATGCAGAGGATGAACAAGAAGGCTGTTTTCCCTATGCCTGGCTAGTTTACAGTAAACTAAAGGGGATGATTGTTGAATTATTGCCTGAATTTACCTCTTGATAAAGAGCTACACACCAGTGCTTGGTGGACCTGTGATCCTATCAAAAAGGTCTGCTAAAAGAATGGATACCTGAGTTGACTAGAAAGATGAGCCTTCTAGCCTTTTTTACCAGTGCAGCCCTCGGGTACAGGAA